GAAAAACGACTATATAAACCTAACCTCTATGATAGCTTATTAGGTAGATTTTTGATATCCTTTCGTACAAGGCCTATAGGTGTCTATTTGAATCAAGGCTCGTTTGATGTCCCNCGCNCNCCCATATGCCTCTGAGTGACACTNCCGCCGATACTGATCCGAGTAGTCTTGCCTGCGCCGTTACACCTTGCTGCGGTTTAGAATCGCGTTTTGTCTATTCCTAATACAGCGTGATACATGGGTAAAGTAAGTACTAGACATAGCTTTTTTTACTTAGCGCTACGCTAATAAAACGCAGCAAGGGTTGATGCTTGGAAAACGCGCGTTTTACCGAACAGAACAGCGTTTTTGGCTGCGGTTCAAAAACGCTGCCCAAATCGGGCTTAGTAAACCGCAACCGCAAAACGCAAACGCGCAACCGAACAGGCCCTTAGTCAGTTACAAGGAAGACATTGGCTTTACTGTAGATCGATCGGCAGAGAATGCCTGACCACCCTCCGACCGGACGAAACGCGGACCAAATGGCAACGCTACACTTACCTAGTTGACGCCCGATTCGAACTACTCAACTCAAGCCGAACAATCATTTACTGTGCTACGTAACAGAATCGATCTATTATGTGGGCCCGCTTGAAAATGGAAGGTATAGGCTGGAGTAGAGAGTAAGAGCTATACCATACAGAGTGTAGCTCCTATGGTAATTACTGGCATACATCGGTAGGTTTCGTTACCTCGACTTTTCAGGCAGTCAGATCTAGAATAAAATAATCTTCACTAGGGTGATATTGACAAGTTTTATTACTATACAAGCCACTACAAGGGTTACTAAGATCATTTTAAGAGCCGTGTAGCGGGATTAAGGGTGAGAGCAAGGGTAGAAGTAAGGATAAACTAGCATTTCTCTAACTATGATAAATCAGGTATGGTGATCTGAGGAAGAGTCGGACTATCGTTTTAGCGTCTCCACAATTATAGCACAGTATAAGAGTCGTCAGGAGCTGTTCAGAATGAACAGTAAAGCAAAATTTCCACAATGTCGAAGCCAAAGGTTCTTATCGTCGGTTGCGGCGCCGTGGGCTTAAGCCAGGGTTATCACCTCTCCGCCGGTGCAGACATTACCTACCTTGTGAGACCCGGTCGCAAACCAGCATTTCTAGCCCCGAAACAACTCTATGCGTACAAGACGGATACACTACACACTTTCTCATCATACCGTGTTATCGAGTCGGTCGCCGAGGTCAAGGGTGAGACATTTGCTTTCGTTCTCGATACCTTGGACGGCCACACCGCACGCTCAGAGAATGGCGTCACAACGATCCGCTCGGTAGGCAATCTCGTCAACCAGCCACAGAATAAAGAGTGCTTTGTCATCTTCGATGCCGTCGGCTTAGATATAGAAGAACACTACGCCAGCAATCTGCGCTTGCCGAAATCTCGCCTTCTAATGGTGGCAAGCATGCTTGCGCATCAGCCTACGCCCAAGATCTCAGTCCCTGCTGCAGCAAGTAAGGATCTTGTAGCCAAGGCAGATATATTGTATTCTCCTGCGCTGCCCGGTGTAGGCCTTCTGATAGGCAACACACAACCCGCACTCGTCAAGAAAGTCGCTGCGATCTACAACGTCAATGGCGAGCTCGTTATCAGCACGATGCCTGCATTCATCAACGCCTTGTTTCAGTCAATTGCACTCCTTCATCTGGTCATTTGGAATATTGACGGCTTCGGGCCGTTCTCGCACCTCCGTTCCAACACCGAACTCTGGAGCTTACTTCTACGGGCTCAGACCGAGATTCTACGACTTCCACGCTTCGGCTGGACGGGCTGGTTGCTCTCGCTTGTAATGGGGAGCTGGGCCACGGAGAAGGCGATGACACCACCTGTGGAAGGCTCTAAGCCGCTTGTTTATCATGAGTTTAATGCGTTTCATCATGGGGGTAAAGTCTCGAGGCAGGATCTTATGATCATGGAAGAGATACTGGATGAAGGAGAGAAGTCGGGAACGAAGATGGAAGCATTGCGGGAGGTTGTGAGGCGGGTAAGAGCATTGAGGCCATGAAAGCTCGGTCGGCCAGTATGAGATAAAAATGGAGCCAAGCTGAAACAGTCGAGGGAAATTTGTAAGCTTCAATTAGCACCTTTTGCAAGAATATATGTGTATTTCCTTAAAAAGGTAGCTTCAAAATGCTTCAAAGTACCCATGATTGTAATCCATCACGAATTAAGCGCGAACTCGGCATTGTATATAGAATATTGTATCTGAACATGGAGTTATCTTCACTAGCACTTATTTATAGAATAGTAAAGATTCTGGTAACGTATAGATTATACAGGACTTTTACGCGCTATTGATATCCGAAGCTACCTTGAGCAGTTTTCGATGCTCTTTATTATTTTAGTGTCATCACGACCTTCTGAGAGCTATATGCTTAGTGGTTGGTCGTTCTTGCACCGGCCTCAGCTCGTTAGCACCAGCTACGATGCAAATGCAGCTCAGCCGTAGCCACAACCGCCAAGCTGAATAATATATTTAAAGCCTCTATGGGGCCTATTAAAAGTAGATAGAAAAGTAGTTACCTATAAAAGCTCACATGTCCTTCAATTTGAGCCAAGTCCTTCAACCCCCAACCTGGCCACAGCCATCCACATCCTCGACGAGGGCGCTCTGCTGGGTATGAAGCGATGACATAGCAGGATTGGCTGCTCTGGCAGCCCTGGAAAGAGTCTTTTCCGTCGTTGGGCCTCGTGGTGCGCCATACAATTGGCAGTTGATGGGTTGAGGAGTTGCAGAAGCGCCGGCTGTAGTAGTACGTGGGGCTGCACAAGCGAGTCCGCCATGCATGCGCTGAGCTACTTAGCGCCGATGCCAGTTTTAACAAATGTATACTTATCGGCCGAACCAACTCTGCTAGCTTTCAAGGCATTTTAACTCCTTATTCTTAACTGCAAGCTTTGTCTCGTGATCTTAACTACATGTTTACGAGATTGCGAATCCAACGCCTCATCGATCCTCTAAGCGACAATGGCCATTATGGCTGAGATCCCCTCCGTAGCAACCATACTAGAATACCACTGTAAGTAATCCCAAACTATCTATTGCACACGGAAGCTTCTATAATAAATTCTCTGACATCTTTTAGCAGGTTCACCGGGAACCTGGGGATCACGCCGCTTAGATCTATTAGGCCAGAATGTAACCCTACCAGAAGTGTGCTTCATGTGAGATATGAAAAGACAAAACAGCTTGTAATATACGGGACTTCTAAAACTAATGACTGCATGTTTCAGCTTCCTAAAGTCGGACGACTGGTGGCAGAAAAGGTGCTCGGAGGCCAACCGCAAGAAGATACTAGCGGAGTTTCACGCACCGGATATTCTTAGCAGCAAGACTTGCGCCAAGCTCAATGGGTACTGTGGTTCTTCAAGCTCTTTTTCGGGAGATGGGGACAACGCCAAGCTTGATAGGCTCAGTGCGTTCTTTCTACTTGTTCTCTACATCATTCGATAGATTAACTTACCAACTAACACTAATATCGACAGGCGTGTGGTTCAAAATTCTCACCAAGAGAGTTCTGGCGAAGGAGGAAATGCAAGAATCAGAAGATGGAAAGGACTACAAGTGGTACGAGATGAGCTTTTTCATGCGGTGGGAAAGCGCACACACCAGGAGGGTCTTATGCATTGGCGCATCACCACAAATGAGTGCTACGCTTGAGGCCATGGTCAAGGAATCTCCACCGCCGACTTTCGAGTCGCAAGACCCCCTTGCGATGCTTAAACCCCTGTTCGATGAGGTTATCAAGTTGTGTGACGAAAACATATGGGCGGTAACAAGGAAGGTTCGGGATATTGAACTTGTACGCTACTTTCCCCAGTACTATACTTCAATGTAGTCACAACACTACTAACACTCATATTCCACTAGAACAGAAAAAGAAGATGCGAGTTCGATACACTGCGCAACCTAGCACGGCATACAGGACACGTCATAGAAGTCGAACAGGTAGCCATCGAGACGATGGAGCAGCTGCTCAATCTGCAGGAGAGCAACTTCAAGCATCTCAACAAACTCACAAAGACATACACGGTACAAGCGAGCGAATACCTGGCGTTCCAGTTGCAGGCAATGAAGAGCCTGAGATGGCGCGCGCAGTCCACGCATGACCGACTGGAAGAGGAGATAAATCTGGTAACCTGGACAATTCATATCGTGTATTCAGAGCTGACCCAGTCTCCGTAGGCCTACAACATGCTTGCAAGTTCAGATAATGCAGTCATGAAATCGATTACCCTTCTCACGATGATATTCCTACCAGCGACTTTCATATCCGTAAGCAACGCGGAAAAGGTGTGGACTAAGTCACCCAAGGCACTTACTTACTCATGCTTTAGGCGCTTTTCAGCACAACATTCTTCTCATTCGAAGAGAACGGATGGCAGTTTTCCCCCAAGTTCTGGATCTACTGGGTCGTTGTTATTCCTTTGACCATCACTGTAGTGTTGGGCTGGTGGAGGTGGATTGGTGGATCATATGAGGGTCTCCGGGGGCGGTTCCTGCACACCAAGGATCCTAAAAGTCCTCTTTAGTGATGGTCGATGCATCATTTTATTGCAGGGAATGTTTTATAGGTCTTCCGAATTAGTTGAAATGTTGAAATATGAGATGAATAATCACGCCCATTTCCCCCTCAACTACACTGATCGACAATTCCTGTTGACACCGAAAAGAGCACCGCTAAACCCCCCTTTCCAAAATTAACCTCATTTGCTGTCTAGCACTGAATCAGATACCATGGTTACAACTTCTGCCGAGCTTGTACTGTGTTGTTCTTCTGGCACGTCAGGCGACCACCTGTGTGCATCACCCAACCGATCTGCTGTGAGACCCGCCGAACCCGGGTTACGCATGCCGGACTCGAGTTGTTTTTGATAGCTTACTTGTCTCAACCTTTGGGCCTCTCTCGGCGTAAGGTGTAGATAAATCTCAACACCAATAGCATGCAGCGCAAGAGAGAGCCATAGTGCCATGCCAAATCCTGCATTAAATGCTGCGCCCGTATTCGCTGCGTCTCCTACCCCAAAGGTCGCTGCCACGGCTGATACTGCATCGGGATCCGTACCATCAACTTAAGCAGCACATGCTGGATACGAATTCGCAAGATCAATGTCAGGGGTGATGGTTGCGGCGATCCTTGCGCATGTCCAGACGACGTAGTATCCTTGCTTTGCAGTTACTCGAGCCGAAATGATGAGAATAATGGGGAGAGTGACAATGGCACCCGCGTAGAACCATCCCCTAAGCATCCATGCCCCGATGCTGTTCGATTTGCAAACGCTTTACGTTGATATAGCTGATAATGAAGCAGGCCAGCGTACTTAGGCCTAGAACGCCGAGAGCGCTCTGCACTTCTAGGCCGCCGCCGAACGCGTATCGCATTATCATGAACGCTCCTGCAAGGCTGACCAGGAACAGGAGAAGTGCAGCATATCAGCCAATGCGATGTACGATTATCCAGCGGTGACGAATAAATAGTGTAAACTGTGCAACAGCAATCAAACTAGCAGGAAGAATACCCCCCAGATGAAGTAAGATGCCGACCTTGTATTGTGTGAAGTTGAGGTAGTAATAGCATTCTCCTGGGGCTGCGCTGTTTCCACTCTCGCTCGATCCGTCGGCCGGGCAGAAGTTGTGCGAAAAGTTAAGGTAGGAAAAACGTGCTAGGACGACTGAGGCAAAGGAATTAGCTTGGGAGAGGCGGCTCGAAGACGGAAAACCTTACAGTCAGTAAGTGCTCCACCGAAGATTATGTACAACCAAAAGTTGTAGACTTTGATAAAGCCAAGTGGGTTCACGACTCTTCGGGCGAAAGCGCTAGTTGAAGGTGGCTGGGCGATCATGATGCTTTCTTGATGGGTAAATAAGATGGATATATTTTATTTGTTCTTTTAGGTTGAAGAGGTGTTCAGTAGTGATTATCGTATGCTGTAACATGATGTTTCCTTGCCAAAGCTGCCACATCTTTATACAACTCTCGACTGTTCTATCCTATGCCTTGTTGAGATGATTTTGCGCTTATGGCCAAAACTTCTGATTGTAACATTGAGGGTTTCCAACACAGCTTTGGGGCGGTGGACCAGTAGACAACAGAAGTGCGATTCGTGTGATAGCACTAAAACTCGATCATAGAGCCAAAATTGATCGTAGCACTCAGAAGAAGCAGTGCAGTGCAATGCAATGCTGCCAAGCAGGGAGATGGTTGAACTGCGCTCTTAGTGATGTACTTGACGTACACATGGACAGACATTGATATAGTGCGATATAGTACGATATAATGTAAGTAGCGCTACAAATAGATACGCCGATACTACTCAGGTGATAACACATCTACTAGGCCAACGCGGCGTAAGTCGCAGAGCTATGTAGGAAGATAATGTTACAAGTAACAAGAAAGATTCTCTCCTTAACAAGTGACGAGATAGCTGAAGGCCTATGGACGTCCACGTCAGAAGGTAATAATCACCGCGGGGCGAGGATCACGTAATTAATATTACGCTAAGATAACTATTAGGCGCTAGCATATAATAGCAGCAATCCTCTAATAGCAGCTATTAGAGACATTAGGCTAAGAGGAAGAAAGTCGTGATAGTAGTGATAGTAGGACATGAAGCAATAAGGATATAAGGATAGATAGATTTCATTATTTACTCTCGTTGTAGCTAATTTAAATAACACTTTCTTACTAGTTACTTTACTTTACAAGATTGTTATATATTAGTCTATAGTAATATAGATTAGTGTTTATTAAAACACTAGTTATATCTATAACTCTTCTCTACTACGAATCGCTAGACAACTCTCACGGAGCTAGTTTCTATTCCTACTCGCCCTCACCCGGACCGAGCCAGAGAAGTGTTAGCATCCAACCCCGTGTAACAGATAAGGGAAGCTTGAGGGATATGTATTGTTTTTTGTTATATGTTTCGTTACCTCTATTAAAAATTTGCGGCAGCGAGGGTTTGAATAACGAAGTAGACTATAGATAGCAGCAAGCGAGTGAAGTATCTGGAATTAAATGGAGGAGTAAGAAATAGTCTAAAAGGCTTTGTATAGTAAAGCTAAGATAACTCCTAGCGAGACTAATTAACGCGTAATATAACGGAGTAGGCTATATCACCCTTTGGGAAAATAGGGTCGCTATGACGCTTTAGTTGCAGCCGGCGCTGCTTCTAAGGCTCTGGCTAGTCGTCAGACATCTTCAGCGGCCTTTTGCGTGTAATTTGATGCTCTGATTCCAAGAATTGAGATACTCGCTGTTGTCGTGTTTTCTTTCGGAGGAATAAAGCACTTTGTGTCGAAACGCCGGAATGATTTAGCAAACCAAGCCTAGGTATACCTGTGTCTGAAAACTCTCCGTCAGATATCGTTGTGAAAGCGAGAAGTCAGACTGAATAATGCAAAGTTGTGCACCCCGCTCGCTAGTGCTTATTTATGATACATAACCGTGATCGGCGCGAGCCTTGAGTGGTTGCTAGTTCTCTAAACTTCTGCCTGCCAGGGTGGGCAAGGAATTTGAAAGGCACCCCCGCAGTACCCGCCCGTCTCGTCCTAGTTTATGTATTGTGGCACGATACGTGATGGAGCTCAAAAGATCAGAGGGGCGACCCGCGATCGAGTAGATAGAAATAAGCTGATGTTTAATCGCTGCAAAGGATTGATTGGAGAAGGTGTCTTTCTCCGTACGAAAGAAAATCGCAATATATGTCGTAAGGTAGTCGCGTGATAATACACCACAGTATGGATATTCTTTTCAGCCGAAAGTGGAGTTGAGGGCCTATCTCCATCCAACCGAACGGTGCGTTCGGAGGGTTCATCGCCGTCGACAACTGAACGTCCGAAACCATAGAGATTACGCACAAAGTACATAATGCGCCGGGTGTACCCATATCGGGTAGTTTTGCGATCACACTATCTATGAATTGGGCTTTTTAATTCATTCTAGTACTTGGATACTCACCGGGATAATCAATCACTCTGTAGCCATAGCAATCTTTGTGCCCACCTCATTAATAAGTCTTTTCGTCGTAACCTCATTAATATGAAGCTCACCTGCCAAGGCTTTATACATCATTTACAAAGTATTCTACAATCTCTTCTTGCATCCATTGCAGCTATATCCCGGCCCACTGCTGGCTCGTTCCACGAATCTTGTATATAACAAGCACATCGCAGCTGGAGACGTACACATATGGATCAGACAACTCCACGAGAAATATGGACCATTTGTACGCATTGCGCCAGATGAAATCACATGCGTCGATGCTCAGGCATGGAAAGACGTCTACGGATTTAAAAGAGAAATGGTCAAAGAGGAAAGATTTTACGGCAAAGATACTATGAACCCAAATGCACCAGGAATTGTACGGGCAAACGACGATCAGCACACAAAGATCCGCAAGGTTTTAGTCATGCGTTTAGTGATAAGGCGTTGCATCAACAACAACTGATGATCAAGACGTACGCAGACATGCTTTGTAGCAAGCTCAGTGTACTGTCAGCCAAGGGTGAGAAGGTTGACATGGTCAAATGGTTGAACTACACGACTTTCAACATCATGGCCGACATGACATTTGGCGAGTCTATGGAATTGCTAGATGGCTCTCCAAACAGCAACTGGGTCGACATGCTGTTTGAATTGCTGCAGTTTGTAGCCTATAGGCGTGTGATAGCCCATTGGCCAAGCCTCGCGGTCATCGGCCAAGCTCTAGTAGTAAGGCTAAAACATGCTCACATGTTATTTCTGTGTAAATTAACCGGCTCGTCCTGCCAATTAGATGCGTCAACATCTCAAAGAACGAATCAGTAAGCACCAACAATTCACTAATGAGCGCATCTACAAGCGTCTAGCGCGCAAGGCTGAAAAGCCCGATATGTGGTCCTTTGTCGAGGACAAGGTTGGCAAAAAGGAAGATGCTCTTCACAAGAACGAGATTGCCTCTACCGCTGCAAATTTCATGGTTGCCGGTACAGAAACTACCGCGACCACACTCGCTGGTTTACTCTACCTTTTTCCAAGAACCCTGACAAGAAGAAGCGCCTTCAGGATGAGGTGTGCAACAACTTCTCATCGACTGAGGAAATGACCCTGCAGAAACTCGCGCGCTTGCCGTATCTCAATGCATGCATTGAAGAGGGACTGCGGTATTATCCACCAGTCGGCAACGGCCTTCCGAGGCTAGCCGTCGTGGACAGTGTCCAAGTCTCTGGTCGATATCTTCCAAAGGGCGTAAGTAGAATGTTTTTTAGGACTTTGCAAAAGTGAATTCTTAACCATTGCCGTTTTTTTGTACTTAGGCCATCGTGACTATACCCCAATGGGCTGCATACCGCAACTCGGTCAATTTTCACCGCGCAGACGAGTTTCTGCCCGAGCGCTGGATGCCAGAGGGCCAGGCTGAGTTTGGCAGCGACCGCAAGGATGTGCTTCAGCCCTTTTCATATGGACCACGGAATTGCCTTGGCAAGAAGTATGTATCTCCCCTTTTCGCTTTTGCAGAGAACATGTCTAGATAGATGTGTACTAATGTTGTCCAACAGCTTTGCTTACCATGAAATACGCGTCTTGCTTACTGTGATGTTGTTTTACTTTGATTTTGAGCTTTGCTCCGAATCCAACGGGTGGGTCGATCAAAAGATTTTTACTTTGTGGATTAAGCCTCCGCTATGGATGAAGCTAAAATCCCGTGCAATATAACAATCTCCTGGATTGATTAGCGTATTAATACGCTAGACAAAGATGGTGTAATGTAAACAATACCACAAGAGTAATTATAAGTAAACTTAAAGAGCTTCCTAGAAACCGTAATCAAGAGTTTTGGCATTGACAGCAAGACAGCCGCACTTTTGTAGATACCTTCTGGAGTCGTCTTAATAGTTCCTATCCTCACATCAACACAGCTGGCTGGGGAGTACAATCAGCGAGGCGTCCAAATCCATCGCACTCGTCCTGGCCGGTGGTGGTGCTGTGCGGTGACATATGTGTGTTCATTGTCCTCTGGCAGACCTGCTACGTCTTGGCGAACAAGCCGCCGCGGAAAGTTAGAAGAGAGCAACACGGACATTACAGAGAACGAAGCCGGGTTCGTGGACAAGACCGATGATCAAAAAAAAAGCATTCCAGTATCAATTGTAGATGTATACGAAAACTTCGATTTCAACTAGCGGGAGCAGCCTCAAGGATATTACCATAGCCCCCAACAGCGCGCTGATCGCCTATTGCCAGGTTCAGAAAGTATGAGTAGCTTGGGTTACTCATTATTGTACGTCGCCCGATTGGTTGAGGATATCAAAACCTTCAGAGTCGTTGTTACCCGCATTGTTGTTGTTGACCTCATTATTGTTCAGAACATTTCTACTGTTCGGATTATGAGCGTTGTTGTTGTTGTTGTTGTTGTTGTTGTTGTTGTTGTTGTTGTTGTTGTTGTTGTTGTTGTTGTTGTTGTTGTTGATTCTGGAGGTGTTGTATTCATCATCCGTAACTTCTTTGGTTCCTTGAAGTTCAGGCGGGGCAGGTTCTTCGGTTACTTGTTTACCATACGGCTCGGCATCTCCTGGCTTCTCAAGATGCCAGAGATGCCATTGTACGTCGGGTGGCGTTTTCTCGTCGCTTCCTCTATCGAGCTGAAAACTGCATGCCAGCAGGCCCAGCTCGCCTCTGGTAGTGTCGAGGCGTCGAGTATCAGCTAATATCATAACTTCGCTAAAACTATTCTCGCGTGGCACGGGCTTGAACTGGTAAAGAGGGTAACTGTCTCGATCAAAGGATTGTTGTCCTCCATTTCTATCCATGTCGCTCACAATCACACCATATCGCGGCGCTGCATAGTCGTAGCGGGTTTGATTGCCCGAGCGGATTGTCTTGGAGAATGTGAACATGAATATGGCTTTTCCAGAAGGATCCGGTCTTCCAGAATAACCCAGTTGAATACTGGTCGCATTAGCCATGGATGATTGATGCGACGCGAGGTATGAAGGGATTTCCCTGAGATTTCTCCTCGTAACCTTGAAATCACCAATGAAACAACCAGGCGGGTCGATCTTTTTTCTCTGGAAGTTTTCCTCTGAAGTATTCAACGTCACTTTGCCGCAAGTAACATAACACCATTGTTTACCCTGTACACCAACCAAATTTGGGGGGAGTGTGTGAATGGGATGAGGAGGATATGGATTAATGGCAAGGGAAGCGTGATCAAGGTAGGCGGGTGGGCGTTCTGGCACAGCAGGATTCTGCGGTTGTCCACCCCTATTGTTATTGTTCTGGGTGTTTGAATTCGTCGGTGGGGCTTGTGGCACACGTGGGATAGCAGGAATCCACTGTTGTCCACCCCTATTGTTGTTGTTCTTGGTGTTTGGACTCGCCGATGGGACTCGTGGGCCTGGTGGGACAGCAGGAATCTGCGGTTGCCCACCCCTATTGCCGATCATAGGTAGTTGGGGTCGATCTGGCAGCTTCTGACCCCTTCCAATTGGAATTTGACCGCCTCCTCTCTGCATAGTGAATAGATGATACTGGGATGAGTCCTCTAGATGCTGCTCAGTCAAAATGTTGGCAAGAAATGGTGGACAAGTGGTGGAGGACTGAGTGTTGTTCGGGGTGGAGGGGCAGAATATAGCGTGCTGTTGGATGAAGCAGAGTTGGAGTAGATACTTAGCTACTACCAAGCAAGCGACCAATCGTGCGTGTGACAATCAGCCAGCCACATTGAGCACTTTCAGTAAGACCCCGCTTTCGCATACACGAGGTATGCTATTGAAAGAAGAAGATTAGTAGAAGATGGCAACCACTAAGTAAACGACTCACAGGCCGTGGTACAATCAGCCAGCCGCATTGAGCACTTTCAGTAAGACCCCGCTCACACGCATACACGAGGTATGCTGTTAGAGAGTTTAAGAAGATAGCTACTATCAGGCGGGCAACTCACCAGCCGTGGGAGAATCAGTCAGCCACATTGGACGCCTTCAATAAAATCTAGATCATATGTGCACGAATGCAGAGCTACGTCGTGCCATGTCGCCTTTCTCCGAGCTGACCACGGCCTAAGCCAGAGTGGTGACGTATACAAGAGGGCCAAGAGTTCACCAAGCATTGGCGTCGTTTTATGCTATAGCTACCAGTCTAAGCCTCAGATTTTGGCCATGAGACAGTCACGAACAATCGAGCTTCGTTTTATAGCTGGCGTTTAAACACTTTTTGTGCACAAGCACTTTTTAAAACGATCATCACCTGAGATTGCACGTCTACGATCATGCTTGCATCAGACCATCTACGCAGTTGCAAGTAGTTTAATGATATCGAGTCTACTGTAAGCGCTGGTGAATAGTTCCTAGTTCACATCATATACACATCGAAATCGAACCCAAGCCAAAATCTCCAATGTCTGCACGCACCCTTAAGGGAGGCCCGTTTTCTCTGGGAAATGTGATAGTTATTGCCTTCTTGTCGACCTCTTGCGAAACTCCAGCCAGCATGTAATCATTCGAGTCTCCCAAGCCTCGTTGCTCGACAGTGTCGATTCGGAATTGCAAATCTTGCAAGTGATACTGAAACGGGCCCTGTCGAGTATTCAAAACCTCGGCTGCAACGTCTATTGTGGACTGCGCAGACATGAGCATAGCAGTCGGTGTGTTTTTGGGCTCAAATCGTGGCCAGGGCACCTTGAGATAGAGTCTTGTGGATTGAAGCTCCGGCGGACATTGATTGCGTCGACGTCCAAAAACGTCGTCTTGATAATCACGAAAGCCAGTGGTTTGATCGGAAAATTGCCAGCAGAGACGTACGCTATCGCCGCCCTTGATTGGTTCACCTGGTGTGCCACCGCTGGTCTTTTCGATTCGCCAATATTGATACTCATCTCGATCGGACATTCCAGGAATGAAGGTTCCTTGAGCATTTCGGAATACAACCATATGACTTGCTGGTGGTACTACTGGTTCTGCTGGTGCTGAATCTTTGGCTATGCTGTCGGATTGGGTTGGCGGTATGTAGCCCGGGTCCTGGAAAGGTACAGTGCGAAGAATCACGCGAGATCTGTGCTTTAGCTCGTATGGCATGCCAGTGTTGAACTGAAAACACTGAATTAGTCCCGATTGCACTTGCTTGCGAATGATTGCACGTGGTGTATATACTCACTTCGTCTCCGAAGGGAGCCACCAGGCTCCATTGCGTTGCTGCCTACCAATGCGTCAACCAGAGTAGCCAAGTGGAAGCGTGGATCTTGACTTACGAACTCTGCATTATAGATCGATCCAAAAGGCGCAGTGCCCACTTGGAAGTTCTGAAAGCCATGCAGACAAGGTGCACGGAAAGTGGTAGGGTGAAATATGACAATATCTGTCGTGTAGTCTACACGAGCCCAGAGGCTTTCTTCAGTCTTCTGGGTGATTCCATTGAGTCTCGGTGTGGTCGAAGACTTTGTGTCGAAACCTAGGTAGAACAAGGCATCTCCTGGGTTTTCCACTGAAAGGCTGTTCGTGGGAGTCTGCACCTTGAATCTCACGTTTACAGCCATTGACGAGTCTAGACGTACGTACTTGTTCAATGCCGGCAGTGCCTGTACGAACCAGCTCTGGGCGCTTTCGTACCCAGGCATTTCGCTGACCATGTCTATCATAGTGGAAAGGCGTTCTCGATTGATCACTCGCCACAGGTATGGTGACGCTGCTGTTGGAGCCCAGGCGGCGGGATTGTTGGCCAAGATTGTGTCGCCACCGACGGCTTCAAAGACATTGGTTTCCTGAGTGTTTGACTTTTCGGTTGATTTATCATTCGCTACAGCAAATCAGTCATTTGGCTACCAGATTTTGTAACGATCATAGTTAGGTTCATACTCTTGACTTTCTCTTCATCGTGCTTTGCAGAAACCTAATCCCAACAACAAGTCAGCAGATGAATGGTTAGCGGAAGTCTGGGGAGATGCATACACCGCCATAGGGGGTCTGGACACTAGCGCCCACAGAAGCCTTCATCTGTTCCTTGTGCTGTTCTATGTCGGTATCTTTGTCCGTTTTGATTCGTTTGGTAGACAAAAGTCGTGCTCCTAGCGTTAGCTCTTGGCAGAATAATCTAGGCATTCAATCAGCGGAGTTTAAACCGCAAAGTGGATGTTGCAACTTACTGGCCGTATTGATCGTGAATAGCACGGACTGCGTCGATGCTCTTCTGATTTTTGGCCTTGTCGAGCAGCGTGACAAATTCTGGCGAAGGTTCGAGATCTTCCGCTCTCAAGAAGATATCGCATCGCGGATACAGGTATCGGGCAACAAGGGTTTGTGTAATGCTGGCCTTGCTTTCAGAGCTTTTTTTCTCGTTACTGGTAGCATATCCAGCACTTAAACCGACCGTAACGCCATACGCACCGCCCGCTGCGGCCAGCTCCGTTGACTGACTACTGAAATCGGATTTGGCTAGCGATATCGCGAGGCTGTCCTGACAGGCAGTAATTTCAATGCGAGAATCGTCATTGACTCGGAAGTTAGGTATGCCTCTAAGAGGTTTTGATTCGACAGGCGCCGCAATGATCGCCCGTTGCACTCCCTCTGGTACATCAGACTTTTGCTGCTGCAGCTCGTCGAATCGTTTCCTATCCGCTTCCGTGTGCTCAAAAAGCGACTTCTCAAAGTCGGCATTCTGAGCTTCAGCGAGTTTCTGCGCAGCCTCATCAATGACGAAAGTAGGTATCTGCGCTACGGGCTCTGCGTCAACCTTACATCGCAGTCTAAAAGCTGCTCGGGGTGCGCGAGCAATCTGACCAGTGCGTCGATCTATTTTCCAGCCATAGAAGACGGCACAGTTTCGGAGTATAATACCCCATTGCTCTTCGGTGAGAGTTCCAGCCGTGATCACGTTCTTCTCGCCGGCGTTCATCTGGCTGGCATTATTGACGTTATTGTAAGGGTCCACGTAATTATTGCCAGCGGCGTTTGCCTTGTCGGCAGCAATAAGACTAATGGGTGTCGCCACAGTCGGGTTTGCCGCGACATTTGGCAAGTTGGTCGTGTCGGAGCCTGTGGGACCACTAAAGCCAAAGCCAGAGCCAGCGCCAGAGCCAGAATCTCCTGTGGCGCCGAGAGGCCCAGAACCAGGCATTATCCTGTTCGATGCTGGGCCAGTTGCATTTGAGAAATCCATTCCCGCAGTTGCGACTCTTGCAGGAGATCGATAGTAAATCGCGAGCTTTGGCACCCGTGCTTTGATTTGTTTCACCGGAGCTTCCTTTTCGAGCTCGACTTCCCCATCTTTGTTCGACGCCTTACCAACTGTTCCATCATGCTGTTCAGTGTCGCCCGGCTTCGCTTTGTTGGGCTTCTCTGCATCTCCTAATGCCTTTTCTACTTGTTCTTTGGCAGCGGCATCAGCACCAGGCTTCGGCTCCTCTTTGGGCTCCGAGGTCGCTGTCTTCTGTGCATGCTTATTTTCACTCAGAGGCTCAACTTCATCGTGCTCATCGAGTGCGATATATTCATCAAGACTGATGGTCTCATCGGTGACCGCAGTTCCATCAGAAGTACAGAAGCGATGGATGCGGCTGAACGAACTCATGCCTGACTTGTGAATTAGTGCCTGCATACGAAGCCTGAAGGTGACACGAAAAGCTCACCCGGGGCAAGTTTGCGCAGTTGTCCAAGCGAAATATCGCCGGCATACTTGTCTGGTGCTTGAGAGAGTATGGTCTTGTTCAATGACTGAGAGAGTATGGAGCCCAAGGACTCGACAAACTGGTCGCCAGTCCGCCAGAGGTACACATTGATGGCGTATCGGCCACTTTCGAGAGTGGCATTTCGAGGTCTGACCGCCGGTGCAGGTTTCTTGACCGCTTGGCCACCTGTTGTGGGCATCTTCTGCGAGCCTTGTGCAGTGGCCCCTTCTCTGGGTCTGAGGATGGCACCACTTCTGGCTTTGGTCGATGCCGGGCCCTCATATTTGGCCTGAAGGACAGCACCACTCCTAGGTTTTGTTTCTGGCTGCTCATGGCCGGCAATGGCACCTGCAGGTTTTCGATTCATATTTGGACTTGAGATGCAAATCAACTGTGATGTGAAATTGATGGGTGAAGTCGCGGTACTATGGAGCGCACTCGTCGACTAACAGGCCGAGGCTCGCGTCGGCCACAATGGTTGAAAAAGGCAGAAAGACATGGCGCTTATCCCAAACGTGCCTTTGCGCCCAATCCATGCTCGGTAGGAGTTGGATCTTTGACGCCTCGACTGCCACTCGCGCACTCCGGCCTTTGTGGCTACCTGAGATGGAAGCCAAACAGACTCTAGGCCACCACCACCATGCCGGGTGAGGTCGTCCGCTAAGAGCGTGGTGTTCTTGGGTATGACCAATCACATAGCCGCCCGCACTTCACCTTACCTCTTTTAGACACATTAGTAACGCACCAGCGTTGGTGCATTTCCTTATACAGTTGCTCCTTTTGTTCGTGTGGCAGACGCCTTACTGTATTCTTGTGCAAGATGTGGTAGGGAAATGCACGCGAGCATCCAAGCTGAGATACAGCACATCAGCAGTAGTAGGGACGGGAAATAATGGCAAACCTAAGTCACCATCTTGGTAGCTAGTCAGGGATGCCTCGTGCCCGTACATACAGGACAAAACATCATCTTCCTCTACCACTCCTCCCCATCACATCCTCCCAACATACCCGCAGGCCATCATGTCTCTCCTGCTGGCTCCCTACAATGATTCAATGCGCCTGGGCATGGGCTTCAATTCGTACACACAAACTCTCTGTATCGACAAAGCCGTCGACGTCCAGCGACCCAAGTCGGTACGCGCTGAGAACCCGTCTCAGGTGGTCACATATTCTTCCAAAATCGTCGAGCACCTCTCCGAAGTCGTCAGTTCGCTCAATGTTTCTCACTGCTTGTCCATTCGGAAAGGCACCGTGGAAATTGCCGGCAATGGAGACAATATCAACGAGGACAAAATCAAGTCCTCCGATTTGAATGCCGTTGTCTCTGTCAAAGTAAGGCTCACGCACTTTGTCACCTCTAGACTGCCAGACTGATTGACTTTTCAAGGTCGTGAATCAAACCGTTGTGGCTGAGGATGACGCTCAGTTCCGCCCTATGGGGGGCGTAATTCCAGGCACGCAGCGATTTAACGATAGCTTCGGCGATTGCTATGTTTCTGGTACGATTAATGTCTCTTCATCACGGCCATGGTCCATGCTAATGTCTGTCAGGTTTCATTACTGGAGGCGAATTCAACGGCATCATCTCCATGCGAGTATTGGATCGATCAAAGGTTGCCAACGTTACGACAGGGTAAGCTTCTTCGCGTCAGAGCTCGTGCGTCTGGATCGACTGATATCTACTAGCATCAAGAGAGGCTTGCGATCTGCAAAGGGTGCCACCGAGTTCACTCTTGACATGGACTCCTCTTCTTCCCAAAGTATCAATTCAGAGCTTCTGAAAGATACCGAGACCACAATCACTGTCTCATGGATGGGAGGTGGACAGGTGAAGGCTCGTACGTACTTGTCTTGACTCCCTCGCTCTCCTAGTACTGCTAATTCTTCTCTAGCTCAAACACCATGGACCATGGAAGCTGTCTATGCTGCAGCTGACGCGTTTCCGCTACTAGTTTCCAAGTGTCCACAAAAGACCTGGTGGGTAATACAGCTAGCTTCGGCCTCACTGCGCTAATATGCCACTTGTAGGGCGATTCTTACCAAATACAAGGCCAATCGCAGCTTCGTCGACTATAGCCGGGCCATATCCTTCTCACCATTAGAATATGATCTGGTGGCTGACTTTACGTCGTCGCTGTTCGATAACTACATGGAATACAAGCAACTCATCAAGAGCGTTCAGGACATGATGATCAACCCGCAAAATTACAAAAGACGTTCACAAATTTCGAAAAACTACGACGATTTCCTCACTCTTGATGTAGATGTTTTGGTTGCTGTGCGTAGCGCGTTCCGCATCGAAATGAACAAGATTGTACAGACTGTCGATATTCTATCAAAAGACCCCCATGTGCTTAAAACGAGTGGAAAATTGACCGCCGAGCCAACAAACGAAAGCGTGCTCAAAATCATTCGCAAAGCTACAGGGAAGGTGTCGCAGCAGCAAAAAGACGCATTTTGGAGATACGAGAAAGTGCAAGCTCCAGTCGACGTCTCCCCGCCACCGCCCGGTCGCTATCAGTGGGTGTTGGTAAGCTTCTCTGACAGACTCAAAGTCGATGCCGGATATGCATCGAAGAGCTCTGATGCCTCAGACCACAAGGCCAGACCATACAATGCGTGGGTGCAAAGCAATGATGACGTCTTCAATGAGAATTCAAAGCCACTAGCGGTGGATGGAAGCACATCGAGTGGGTTCGGCACCGCGTGGATTGCAAATTTTGAAGCAGGCCTCCCAGCTGATTTCCAGGATGGCGATGGGTCGTGGGAGTGGGGATGGGTAGAGGAGAGTGAAAGAACGCAGGCCAAGTCTGTTCAAGCCGCTCGGAGTGATTCGGACTCAGTGCAGACTGGCGATGGCTCTCGCACTCCTTCCTCAACTGTACTGCATCAGTCGCAGACCAAGGAGGCCCATGGGTCGACAATATCAGTGGAGAACGGACAAGGCATGCAAGAATACTCAATTAGTGCTCAACAAGACTCCAGCGCGCAGCAAGACTCAACCCAGGCGGCAAATGCAACTGGCACAGGAGCCGGCTCTCCGCCGTCACTGAACACGGAGCAATACATGTATAATCCCGCATTGTCCTACTATGCGGGTCCGTGGGCGCCGCCGCCTCCTGGTTTCTATCCTGCGCACCGGGTTCAAGGGCCTCAACAACCCCCTACTAATCAGCCGTCCACAAACAACGTATCCACCGCCGCTCAGCAAGATTCAGCTTCTGCTCATGCGGCGGTGAATGCTCCACGTAATGATAAACCGAGCGCTGAAGCCAAACAGCCTGACCCAGATCAGAGTGCTGTTGCTCAAGCCCCAATGAATGGTCATGAAAACCAAGTCCCAGCTCTGACCTTCGATATTATGGTAAGTCTATCAGGGGTACTGTGGTTTGAACAATGCAGCTAAAGGATCTAGATCTCCCCTGAAATCTGGGTCAACCTTCTCCCTGTCGCCAACGAAGGCACAGCACAGATTTCAAGTGTGACAGCCAGTATGATGCCGGGATCATTGGCAACATCTATGCCACCTCCCCCACCCGATGACTCGGCAGAAATCAACAAACGCTCGGAAAACCGTGCGAAGGCTAAACTTGAGATCTTGTCAGCCGTTTGCGGCGTTATTGACTGCACTGATAATTTGCGAGAAATGATTAAAGATGGCATGCTGACAATTGACACGCGTAGTATTGCTGACTTACTAGGTGGACATTCTTTACCCACCCGTGTGCAGTCAGATGGGGTATATCTCACCTTCCTATTTCGCTACCCAGACCAGCCAATGCAGCTATTCGTGCACTCTCCGTCCTTCCCGAACAAAATCTACAACATCACGCCGACCTCCAATGAGTATCCCACGGTCACGCCAATGGAGTGGGCTGAAGCCTATTGGTCGCCGATTGCGGTGGTGTACGGCGGGAAGCATCTCAGCGATCAGGGTCCTTTGAGCGCCGTGCTAGCTGAGATCACTCGAAATTACAAATCTTCGGCTGGCGTTCGCCAAGTGAATATTACAGAGCAATTGGTTGGCATGGTGAGTGGATATGCCATGGCGGACGCAACTGTGGCCAGCTGCTAACCTAGCCTTCCAGGATCCGTATGCCAATCATCTCAAAACCGGAATCATCTTCTACCAATTCAAGCCCGGAGGTCAAGTAAGATGCGCCGTTGGCGTACAAGATCAGACTCCATGCACGCTCACAGATCGACTGCTGGCAGATGGGCATGAAGACACACTCAAGCAGAAAACCCAAAAGGTGCAGCAATTGGAGACTCAAATTGCGGGAAATACCAGGAGGTTGCAAGACGTGGAGGGCGAAATGGCAAAGAAGACTCAAAAAGTGCAAGAGTTGGAAGGCCAGCTGGCGAGATTGACCAGTGCATGGCATGTGACCCGCATCTCAGTGGCTTCGAACAAGGAAAGAACAATGAGTATGGACTTAGCAGGTTTTGTAGACGAGATCAGCAACCAATCCTTAGACCCGAAGGCGTGGGATGGCAAAAGAGTGGAGTTCATGTTACGGGCTGACGATACCTTCCTTAACTATGATAAGGATCTCACGCTGTACAACAACCAGAGTGCTTTGTACGCACACGAAAACCACACCTACACACTGAAGCGCCTGGGCCCACCGGAAGAGTATGATTGGATGATACTTGCAAGGGATGGAGGTGGGTCACATTTCGATTCGCGCTCGCGCACTCTCGTCTTTACCGGTCGATCTCTGCTGACGAAGACCTTGTGTCTACAGGTGCTCTACACCATGAGAATGGAGACGTTGTTGTCAGGTCAGCGAGAGAGGGTGACGTAGCGCAGCACTGGTACATCCACAGAGCAAGCTGGTTCACCGTCAGGTATGTTCAGCAGCACAAATCAGTGATGGATTGATTATCATCATCTCTTTTGACATGTGCGTGGTTCTGACTTGATCATGATAGGATTCGGCCTAAGATGTGGAATAATCTTTGGGTACAAGCAGACGAGGGCAAGGTGAAATGTCGGCTCCCACCGACAGACGGGTTGAAATGTGAATGGCAAGTCGTGGTCATTCAGTGATGAAGTACCGTCCAGATTTGGCATGAGCATCATCAAGGGAAGGCCTTGTGCGGCTCACAGAGAGAATTCACAGCATATACATCGTAATCGGCGTACGCTGCTGTTGGTACGCCTTGCACGTTCGTTGATTATTCAATATGTTTCAACAGTTTCCGGCACCAGACGGGGGAAGACTCAGGCGAACCATCGACGAATAGAGTACAACCCTCTCGATAGTGCTGAGTGAGTGAATGAGGGTGAGCTACAGAGCCGTCGAATGCCGGCGCCAATTCTTTGGTTACGCTGATATTCACCTCTCCGCAATCCACAACACCCCATCCATTGACGTCACGCATGATGCGAACGCTAATCAAGATCTCCAGCAATTAAGTGATGCAGATGCACGAGGAGGCCGTGCACGGAAATTGGCCATGAAAGATGCAGTCGACATTACCGCCCTCAGCACCTTATACCCTGTGCTAATCCTGAGCGTCACCACAAGCGGCCCTAACGGGAAACACTGTCGACGCAAAGACCGCACAAAGCATCCAAGCCCCTTGTCGACTCTGAGCATCACACTGATCTGACAAGTACACCCCTCCTTCTCCCATTAATTCTATCATCGTAGATAAGCTTTACTTATGTTTATTACCCCTCCCCCGGACCAACGAGAAATACTCAATATATATATATATATATATATAGTATAGTTATACCTTTGTTCGTGAGAAATTTTGAACGCCAGCCCGCTACATCCCGCGATTATAGATCGAACCACTTGATATAACTGCTAGATATTAGGGTCCAAACAAGCTAATACCATTATTTTTTCGTAGGTCAGTCCTTCCGTTCTGACTTATTGGTTGAGCGCAGATGGGCCACGACAGCGTCAGCGAACCATGCCAAAGATTGTTATAAGAAAGACTTTTGGCTTGCGAGATTGCTAGTAAGATAGTGGTACCTAGTAGTCGGAAGTCACGGTGCACCACGAGGCAAGAACTGCCGTAGATGATGGCGATGAGGGTCAAGACAATACTAGATTGGTTTATCTTGGATACACTTGCAGGACTTGTGTTGTCGGCATATTCGACAATATGGGACTCGAACGATTCAGCACCTGTATCAACGACAGCGAAGCTGCCAATCTGTTGCAGGCTCTGTACCCAAGTACGGTTGCAAGTGGTATGAGTGCCTCGATATTAGTCTATCCATGTGCGTAGTGGCATCGAGAATCAGCAACAAGATAGTCTGTATTATATTCAGCAAAACATGGCAGGATCCATGACAATGCGGCAAGCGCAGGCTCAGAGACTGAAACCTGCGACTAGACAGGCATTGATCTGGCGAAAACCTCTCAAACAGCCTCCAAGCCAGCTAAGGCACGTTGTGGGATGAGGATGCTGCGCCACATGATAAGCCTCGGGGCTAACTGTATATAAGACGTTGGGAATCTTAGGCAATCATGCTGCGCCACGCAACAAGCCTCGCTTCTAACCACAGACATGCTTTGGAGAATCCTACACAGTTATGCTGCGCCATATCTACCTATATAACAAAAGAATGAATCTCATCGTGCATAAAATTTCTCGCGCGACACTACGCTATAGTGAGTGAGTGTGTGCTGTATGTCCAAGCAAAACCCGCCATGCCTCGCCTCAAGAAAGTTGTTCATAAACCTGCTCCTTCTGGGCCAAAGTGGTCTGACGTGCGTAGTCTCTTTTCCTCCTCTCTTCTCAACAACAAGAATCAGACTTTGAAGCTTACGCATTCGATTTAATTTAATAGTGGATCGTCCCGCCCGCTGTTCACGAGAAAACATGGAAATCTTGGACTATACACGCAGCAGCAGCAGCAGCACGAACTACACCCACCACCATCATCACCGCCAGCTTCTCCACCCTCCCTCTCGAGCTGCGCAATAAAATCTACTTTTACGCAATCGACAAGGTACCGCGTCTTACCCTTGTCGGCAGCATGACAGCGTCAGAAGACGAGACGAGCCACGGCGCCAACGACGAATTACTACCCGTTGACCCAGGTCTAACCACCTGGTTATCTTCCCTTGCCACGCACCTTCCTAACCATTTAAATCTCAACAAACAATACCGCGCCGAAGCACTCGCGGAACTGCACCACAGCGGACTCATGCTCCTCACGCACCTGCGCGCCCCTCGTGCAGTGGATTTTCTCCGCCTCTTGCCTAACGCGAGTGCGAGTGCGACGGTGTTGCGTATCGTCGATGTAACGCTTACAACACGCCTATCTTGCTCTGCCTCTTCCCCTCCCTCTACTTCCCACTCTACCTCTACCTCGATTCCAGTCCCTTTCCTTACGAATCAAACCTACATCCACGCTCTATCTGCCCTATCCCCTTGCCTCGAATCTCTTACCCTCCCCCTCTCTCCAACCATCGTGCGCGATCAAAGCCTCTACGAACCACTCCTCGCGCCCCTCGTGGGTGCTAATACGGCATTGACGAGGCTTCGCATCGAAGCGCTGGGCACGCGTTTGGAGGATGCGCAGCGTGTGGAGAGGTGGGTTTTGGGGGAGGGGGGAAGAGGGGTAAGAGGAGGAGGGAAAGATTTACGTGTTGTGATTGATTTGGCGCCAGGGAACGATGCGGTTTGGTATGAGGATAGTGAATTGTGGACCGGGGGAGTGCGATGGGTGCATAATAGTGATTTCTTTGGGTGAGTTGGAATTTTCAAAGAGTGGGATTCATAGGGGGACAATTTGTCGTTGTGGGCAAGGGGTGGGGTGTATTAGGGACGGAATGATGAAAGCCATCTCAACAACTTGATGCCAATTAGCACAAGTACATTGTCTATTACCAAACTCCAAATTAGCCCGCATCCTTCTGTGAATGATCGCTTCATGCAAAGATTGGTGGGCAACTTGGCGCGGAAATTAGACAGAGAATAGTAATGGGAGAACTTCGTTCACTACGTTCCATCCAAACGATTCCACTGCCATCATTCGGATCTATGATTGCGGGGAAAAGGCTTTCAACCCTTGTCCACTTCGTCATTTGTGTGCGCCAAATAGTAGCATTAAGAGCGCCTCCACGTGTTCTATGCATTTCCCCGAGATCCACATATTCATCGGCTCGGAATCCACTACCGACGTATATCCGGCCTTGCGAGCTGCTAAAACCAAAGGGTATGCTCTGTGATCACAAAGAAGCGCACGGCACATTGTGCTAAGATGGTTCTGTATCGACAAGCTTTCTCAACGAATGAAGCTAGTCATATCAACTATGGGTATGGACTAGGAGGAACGGTGTGATGCAAGCAACAACAATCTAACGATGCTCATACCACCTGGCGAGGAGTATATAACTGACCTAAGAGCATCACTGTCGTATACGTCTCTGTCAACGAATCACTCGTGAGACACGGTTAATTGCTTTGCGTCTCTTGGGCTAGTAAGCCTCCATGTTGGTGCCACTCTCGCTGCGCGTCAGCCGTACGACGTGAGGAAAATTATCAAAGCCCTTCAGGGAGCCCCACGATGACTTGACTATTCTTTGCGCGCATCGCGGATTGAGGTAGGACATGGAAGAGAAAGTAATTTGCCAAGTTTTAACCGTTCTGTAGATGGAACGGGACAGCTGAAAACTCCGTCGATGCCTACTGGAGAGCAACAGAAGCCGGCATCGAACGCATTGAAACTGATATGCGCCTCTCCAAGGATTACTTCATTCCGATGGCCCACGATAGCGGCTTAGATCGTGTGACCGACGTCGGCGAGCAAGCTGGGAAAGAAGCTTATAACCCTTATACTGGAAAGGGCTACGATCCCAAAGTTGAGAATTTCAACCTTTGAAGACGCTGAAGAACGCTGCCGGTGTACCTGCCAACGAGTGGTGCATTTACAAGCTGCAAGCAACAGTAAGTCTAGATATACTAGAAATTCAACAGATTGCCAGCATCACAGTAGTACAAAACACCTGAAGAGTTTGAGGCTCTTGCATGGGTGCAAGATGCATTTATAAACGGTATTCAACTTGCCTTCATTCCCGTCTATGATCCATCTATTCAAAAAGGAATGGATACTCTTGCCTCACTGGAAGCATTCTCGCAGACCAACTACACTATCAGCGCCGAAATCGAACTACGATCGACAGATGGCGTACTCCAGGACCTTGTCGATTACGTCAAGGGCAACCAGTCCACCAACATTAACGTCAAAACTACAGGTACCTTGTACGCTCCTGGCGACATTTTTGCCCCAGAATCCATAGATGTCGACAGAGCAAACTATACTTTCCCTGATAACGAGCACCGCAACAACTCGGTTTACACATTCAAAGATAATAAAGCCCCGCGTCTGATGGACAGCCTGCTGGGTAAAGGTGTCTCAGTTGATGGGCACGACTACCGATCTGACTTTAACTGGATCATGGAGCAAGGTTACAACTGGATCATCGCCGATACACCTGATCTATGGGCTAAGAGGCTGTAGAAGCAGGGAAAGAGGAACATTACTTGGATGCTGGCGGATGGAATGGGAGCGGCGAATAAGACATTGGCAGGTGGATGGTATAAGAGGGATGATGAATATTTACAAAACTAGGTCATGTGCTTATTAGATGGATATGAAGTGGCAATTTGCGACAGCTTGCTCCAAGCTGCACTGTATACGTTTCAAACCGTGAGGCGCAGGCATATGCAGGTAGGGGAAGCTCAGGAATGTGTGATGTTGTGTATCGGCATGTATTGAATGTACGCTGTTACATGCATTGAATCTACGGTAGCAAACTTCTTCCTCAAGCAACTGGAGCTATCCAGAAGTCTTAATGAAAAAGATTCGCGTCAACCTCCGATAGTGCTATAGAGGTGACACTGTGAGGATGACTATGAGCAAGCCCAGGGAGCCATCCACTAGTGACAAAAATAAGCATAATCGGAAAGCCATCGTAATGGCATTTCAGAGATTAAACTGAAAAGAACAGATACTACACTTGATCTAAGCCAAAAGGCAAACTGGGAGCATTATTAGCATATGCTGGAAAAAGGTGATAGTAGGGGGTAAGAGAAGAAAAACTTACGAGAGCTGGTTTGCAAAGGAGAGGGGGGAGGGCAGGTTTTTATAGACGGGGGGAGCCACTAGTTTAGTGTGGCACGTGATTTTGCTGCCTGCCTGCCTGCGGTCATAGCTCCCCGGCTCTCGTTTGCTTTTGACGTCAGGTTGGGTAGGCAGCAGTGAGGTAAAGTGGGGAAATTTGCGGTGCTGCCTGGAGCGTGCGGGCAATTGGCAATGGGGATGGATTGGGGGTCAAGGGGGCCGGTAGAGCTCTATGCATGCATGGTTGTGTAGTGTAGTTTGCGCACTTGGGCGGTGCAATGAGTTGCAGATATGATACATCGCTCTTATCGTTTTGAGAAATATTCATAATGAGTAGATGTAGAAGAGAGTGATGATATGCAGCAGCATCAGATACTCCCACGCGTATACGAGGCAAGAATATGATGCTCTCACTTGACCAGAAGCACGACTAGCACGCATACAGTAAACACATATCAAGCTACCCAGAAAACCACAATTGCCAAAGACCATTTTTTCGGCCAGTTTGGCGGGGCAATTAGGGTGGATGAAGCTAGCTGAGATTGACGCAATCACAAATCATGGAAGAGACCAGCTCCGCTTCCAGCTTCTACCAGCCAAGTGAGGTGTTCGTGTTATCCCGTTGCTTACTGGTAGCAAAAATCCTAGGCAGAATGTTCGCACGTGATGTGGAAGCCTGTTCAACCGATTTGGTCGGTTGCTGAATGGGAAATGCCTCACAATGGATGCCACACACTTATCCCTCTTGACCAGAGCGTGTATCTTTTACTCAATGCGATTGCGGAAGAAATGACTACGACTTCAATAGGTGACATGACGTTCAAAGTAGGCTAGGTAGTCTCGCTTGTAACGCGAATCGGAAATGCGATGTCGGCTGCGGCGGCTACTACGACATTGACGGAGAAACCTCTAGTCTTGATTGCTTAGAAGAGTCATGTACGAAGAACATGTGTGCATCCTACATGCGTTACATTTTCAAATTGAACTCATACATCGTATATCATCAGTAGAACGTCTACGACCTACTCTAGCTATCATCTAGCCAAATTCGTGAAAAACTCATAGCTCGTCCTTATCCTTGGAAGCTGCACCTGTCTTCGCTTGTTCAACAAGACCTTTGTGGACCATGTTCGTTAATACCTCGTAAGCAATCTGTGCTGCAACTAAGCCCGTCGTCTCCGCCGAGCCGTCATATGCAGGACTGACTTCAACAATGTCTGCCCCAACCACGTTCATATCCTGGATACCTCGCAGAATTCGAATCACTTCCCGAGTGGTCCAGCCACCAGGCTCCGGAGTACCCGTGCCTGGCGCTAGCCCGGGGTCAATCACATCAATGTCAATACTGAGGTAGACGGGCATCTCAGTGCCGACACGGTCCATGATGGATGCAATCACTCCCTTGACTCCAATCTCGTCAATATCGTCAGTGGCAATGCGCTGCCAACCTTGCTGTGAATCGTCGACGTGGTCGGCATCGTCGTCGCCTGACAGTCGCGTCCTGAGACCCGCATGCACACTCGAGCCGTTTGCGATCAAACCCTCGGTCGCAGCGTACCAAAACATGCTGCCGTGGTTGAAGAAGGATTGCGTGGACAGATCCTCGGGGTCTAGCCATGCACTTGGATATTTTGCTATATTCCCACTGAGTTAACAATTTTTGGTCATGTTGAAACTGTTGGAATCACGAACCTGGGTGCCAAGTGTCCAGGTGGGCGTCAAAATGTACAACAGCGATTGGCTGCTTGTACAAGTTCTTCAATGCCCTCAAAGCCGGCAGTGCAATGCTGTGGTCTCCACCAAACGTAAGCAGCTTGGGCTTCTTGAAGTATGACACCCCACTCTCAGTGCTCTTCTCGGTCGATGGCCTGTTTGCCAGCTCCTGAAAAGCTTCACTCATCTGCCGCAGTGCCAGGGCATTGTCAAAAGGTGTGATTGGTATATCTCCGCAATCCACAATCTTGGCCCATGATGTGTATGGATTGAACCCCGCGCGTGGATTGAAGCCACGGAACGACGTCTGGCGAGAAGAGCCAGCACGAATGGCTCGAGGTCCGAATCGAGCACCAGGTCGGTATGATACTGCGGTATCGAAGGGTGCACCAAGGATGGCGATATCATAAGTCGTCTCGGGGGTAGTCAAGCAGCGAGTGTGTGGCAGGTGGGCAAAGGTCGAGATGCCGGAAAAGCCCCACTAAGCGACTGTCAGTTGTATTCAAGCACCATCACATTGAATACTTACATCAGTACCCCACTTCTTCTCAAGCTCGTCTAGCCGCTCTTGAGAGAACGAACTCTTTCCTTCAGCGTGGTGGGCTCCATGCGCGGAGACATGGGCCGCATAGGCAAACGGAGTGATCCAGTTCCACTTCATGATCAGTGCATTGCAGTATCTCGGGACAAAACAGTGCAGCAATCAAGTTCAAATACCCGTAGACTGGCGTCTAGGGCGGACAATTATGTAAAATCGCGTTATCGTCAGTCCTGGTCATGTTGCCAACGGCGTAGCGGGGCAGCCCAGAAAGGAAAGTCCATCCGTAGTCGCCCAGAGAGAATGGAACTACCTTGGCCTGATGTCTGGGGCTTGCATGGAAAGACAGACGGGAGATGTGAAGGTGGAGAGCAACAAGGGTCGTTCTCACGGCAAGGCGAGACGGAATTGAGAGTAATGACGTGATGCATGCTCGTCCCGTGACGACGCGCCTTCGCGTGTTACGCGAAGCCTCCACCCTCGCCATCCAAGGTACCGCTCAGCGCAACTCCCAATCACGTCCTCAGTAGGTCGTGTAACTCATCATATCGGTGTTATTGTGGATCTTATCACAACATATTGTTCAGCGCAAGAAGACCCTGTCTAACTGTCAAGATGCCTGAGGTAGGGACGCGTTCTTGTTGCACGCGTATTACACCTGCTAACGTTGATCAGATTGCAGAAGTGGCACGCATTGTGCATTTCTTGAAGAAACATGCTGTCGGAAAGACTATACAAGCGGTGAAAACCCAGGAAGACAATGTGCGCTTGGTGCCGTCTCATCTGTACGAAAGCATCTAATGGCCTCATCCAGATTGTCTACGGAAAGGTTGGAACCTCTGCAGCAGCCTTTCAAAAAGCCATGTCCGGCAAGAAAATTCTAGATGCACGCCAGCAGGGCAAGTACTTCTGGCTGGTCATGGACACGGCACCGCACCCCCTGATGCATTTTGGCATGTCTGGCTGGATGAAGTTCAGCAACGACGAAACAGCATACTACCGCCCAACCAAACCCGAGGAAGCAGAGTGGCCACCCAAGTACTGGAAGTTCATTTTTCAGTTGCAAGGAGAACCCAAAAACGAGGTTGCCTTCGTTGACGCAAGACGACTGGCTCGAATAAGACTGGTAGATGCTGCTGCGGAAGATATGAGGAAGACGACTCCACTGAAAGAGAACGGCCCCGACCCAGTTATTGACAAAGACATCTTGACCGTTGAATGGCTGGGTAAGAAGCTGAAGAGTAAGAGAGTGCCTGTGAAAGCTCTACTGTTGGATCAAGGTTCGTATCTCCTCACCATATCATTGAAATAACGCACTTCTGACCTTACATAGCCAACATCTCAGGCATAGGGAACTGGGTTGGGTATGTTGGTCGCAAAGTAGATATGGAGCACCACTAACATAAACAGCGACGAGATCATGTTTCAAGCCAAACTGCACCCAGAGCAGTATAGCAACACCTTCAGCGACGAACAAGTGAAGCGTCTATATGACGCGATGATGTACGTCTGTGACACGGCCGTGCAAGCCAATGGAGATTCGGACAGTTTTCCTCAAGACTGGCTCATGAAGCATCGTTGGGGAAAAGGCAAGAAAGAGGCAAGCAAACTACCGACCGGCGAGAAGATTACATTCCTCAAGGTCGGTGGTCGGACTTCTGCCATCGTTCCGAGTGTTCAGAAGAAGACAGCAGCTGTTGCTGGTGACGTTTCCGACAACGCAGAGGCTGAAGACAGTGAAGCGGATACGAAGCTTAAGAAGAGCAACAAGAGGAAAGCTCAAGCAGTTAAGGAGGAAGATGAGGAAGTTGAGGAGAAGGCACCTGCTAAGGCTAAAGGCGGACGTAAGACTGTGAAGGAGGTTAAAGAAGAGACAAAAGATGCTTCTGAAGAAGCACCAGCAAAACCGAAGCGTACTAGCAAGAAGGTCAAAGAACAAGTCAAAGAGGAGACTGAAGCAGAGACTGTTGGTGAAATTGAGGAGGAACAGCCCGCCAAGAAGCGAAAGACGACTGCTAATGGCACATCAAAGAAGATGAAGACTCCCGCCAAAGAGGAGAAACCGAGTGAAGATACAACAGGAAAGCGGCGGTCAGGACGCTTGTCCAGGTAAGGGCGAATACGGTATATTGGAATATTGTTTTGTACATTTCAATTGTAAGATAGCGGAAGAGATTTTGTTTTTTGAATGATTGTAAACCTACTACCAAGGTTCAAGATGCACATCGAAATGGCTGCTGTAAGAGGGCGTGTAAGCGGGGTGTCAGGACGCGCACGTGCAATTCAAAGTCGAGGTGCGCTAGTGGTCGAATCGAACACTCCGACATTGAATTTCAGAGCTCCCCACATTCTCACGTAGCGCAGGCCAGCCACAGTGCCACAGTTGCTTGCCGAAGGGGCCGTGTCGCCATGACACATTGTATTGATTAAACATCTCGAATCCCCACTTAACCTCCTCCGGCCTGGTCGCGAGGTTGAATCGAATCCATTTCTTAATTCCGAACGGAAGCTCTTCGCCGGTCGACTATCAACAACGCTCCGCGCACACCTCACACGACCGTCACCATGCCGCAGCCATTGCCCAGCAAGGAGCAGACGCTCTTCCGTTCGCTTGTCAAGTACTATGAGGGCAAGCTGTACAAGAAGGGTAGGCTGCAGTGCAAGGGCAACGTATGGCATTGCTAACCCCGCCAGGCCTCAAGGCTGCTGAGCAGATCTTGAAGAAGCACCCCACCCATGGCGACACCCAAGCGATGAAGGCCCTGATCCTCAATTCCATAAACCAGGGTGATGAAGCCTTCGCCCTCTGCAAAGAAGCCCTCCGAAATGACATGAAGTCGCACATCTGCTGGCACGTCTACGGTTTACTGTGGCGCTCGGTCAAGAACTACCCTGAGGCCATCAAGTCGTACAAAATGGCTCTGAGGTTAGAGCCAGGCTCGTTGAACATCCTCCGCGACCTCGCCCTCCTCCAATGCCAAGTCCGCGACTACGAGGGATACATTGAGAGTCGGCGCAAGATGATGCAAGAACGACCACAATTGCGCCAGAACTGGACTGCTTTGGCCGTGGCTTACCATCTCGCAGGCAATTTCGCCGAAGCAGAAAACATTCTCAAGACCTACGAGGAGACGCTGAAGCAGCCTCCGCCTAAATCCGACCTCGAGCATTCCGAAGCGACCCTGTACAAGAACATGGTCATCTACGAATCTGGCGACGTGGAGCGTGCCCTGAAACACATAGACGAGGTGGTTAGGGTCAGTCTTGATCGACGCGCCGCATTGGAGCTGAGGGCGAAATACCTACTCGAACTTGGACGCAAGGAGGAGGCTGAGAAGGCTTACCGGGTCCTATTGACTAGAAACAACGAGTACCGGGCATACTTCGAGGGGCTAGAGAAGGCCTTGGGTCTGGATCGCTCCAACGACGCCGATATTGAGAAGCTGAACGAACTGTATCAATCATTTGCCAGCAAGAACGAGCGCAACGATGCTGCAAGACGCATACCATTGGACTTTCTTCAGGGTGAGGCATTCAAGACACAGGTGGACCAGTACCTCCGACGGATGCTGAACAAGGGTGTACCTTCAACTTTCCCAAACATCAAATCGCTCTACCGTGACGAGGGAAAGAAGGCAGTCATTGAGGAACTTGTGCTTGGCTATGCATCGGAGAAGAAGACCAACGGCTCTGCAGAAAACGAGAGCAATGGCAACATCACCGATCGATTCGAACAGTCTGTGCTATACTTCCTCGCCCAGCATTACAACTACGTCCTAAGCCGCGATCTCGACAAAGCCATGGAATATATAGACAAGTTGATTGAGATGGATCCAAAGTCGGTTGATTATAGTCAGACCAAGGCACGGATCTACAAGCACGCCGGCGACGTCCAAAAAGCTTCGGAAACGATGAACCACGCGCGAGAGCTTGACGAGAGGGATCGATACATCAACACCAAGTGCGCCAAATATCAACTACGGAACAACGAAAACGAGAATGCGCTCAACACAATGAGCAGGTTCACCCGTAATGAGGCTGTAGGTGGACCGCTCGGTGATCTCCACGACATGCAGTGTATGTGGTATCTGATTGAAGATGGAGAGGCATATCTGCGACAAGAGAAGTACGGTCTCGCACTGAAGCGCTTCACAGCTATCGCGGACATCTTCGATGTCTGGCATGAGGACCAATTCGATTTCCATAGCTTCTCACTACGAAAGGGACAGATCCGCGCCTATATTGACATGATCAGATGGGAGGACCACCTACGCGATCATCCATTCTTCACTAGGGCAGCCACCCAAGCAGTCGAGCTGTATGTCCGGTTAGCAGACAACCCGAAGATGTCAAATGCAGATGAGCTCGAATTGGACAAGCTGGATCCCACAGAGCGCAAAAAGGCTGAGAAGAAGGCAAAGAAGGAGAGGGAAAAGGCTGAGAAGGCTGAGGCAGAGCGGAAAGCAGCTGCAGCTGCAAAGGCAACAGCCAAGGGTGAAGATGGCGACACCAAGAAAGAGGATACCGATCCAAATGGCGAGAAGCTGCTTCAGACCAAGCAGCCTCTAGAAGATGCCCTACGGTTCCTACAGCCCATGCTCGAGTTGGCGCCGAAGAACATCAAGGCTCAGAATGTGGGCTTCGAGGTCTATATCCGGAGAAGTATGTTGTAATTCCTGCTCCTTTTCTTCTCGGTCTATGCTAATAGTATATCAGACAAGTACCTCCTCGCCCTCAAGTGTCTACAAGCAGCACGTGAGATTGATCCCGAGAACCCCAAGCTGCACGAACAGAGTGTGCGCTTCCGCCAAGCCAGTATGTCCAACAGACCCATCACCATGTAAGTGTGTTGCTAATAGCTAGCAGTCAGCAAACCCGTCGAGCCTCTCTCCTCTCAAGCATCGGAGGTCATCAAAGCCACTTTCACCGCACCACCCGCGGATGCTGACCTCAACACTTACAATGACAAGTTTTTGAAGAAGCACTCGGAGAGCGCACTGCATCTCCAATCCGGATATAATGTCCGTTACATTCTTGACAATAGCTCCAAGTCCCAAAATGAGCAGGACCTGCTAAAGACACTGGATCTCCCAACCATCACGATTGAAGAAGCGAAGGCCGGACTGACATTGCTCAATGACTGGAAGAGCGAGCAGGGAGTCAAGGATGACTACAGAGCGAAGGCTGCTAGTCGTTGGAGTGCAGCTGTTGTCTTCAAGAAATGAGCTACAAGCTTGTTGGTGAGTGTTGCGCCGAGATAAAGTAGGCAGGTGGCTATGCCTTGTACATGATTACAAGCCTGGTAGATACGTATGCATTTGCATGGCACTAAACTGCCCGTAACAGAAGCAAGAATAAAAACAAACTGGATAACCGAAACAGCGTCTAGCATCACATGTGTGAAGAGTGGCAAGGAGGCGGATCAACTGTGCGTCATGCGCAAGCTTGTCCGGAACGGCGAGGCGTCGTGCTGTCCGCCTGGACCAATCATATGGCGCGCAGTACGAAAACTGCCCGCTAAGGTTAGGTCCAGGCTGTGTGGGGAAATGTCACAGCTGTACACCCACGAAACACTTTCCCATGAATTCAACATTCTTGCTTTGTATGCTTCAACAGCGTACTCGGTAGTCTCGTTGTTTTTACCACGCCACTTGCGACCTCAACGCGTCTGCATCCATTTGCTGTTCGGACACTAACAGTGGTTTCTTGCGTCAGCAGTCCAATTACCGTATTGACCGTATAACTCTCGGCTTCGCGCCAAACCCCGATGGCGACAAGGAGATCACACAACAAGACAAGGTTAGGATGCCACCAATGCAAAAGGAGACGGATAAAAGTGAGTACTTGTACTATCATGTACTATCATGTTTCCGTGTGAAGAAGCCGATATACTCAGTGCACGCGAGATCATGTACATGCGTATATGCAAACATGCACAACGCCACATGTAGTGGGCGTTCATACACTCACAGCCACAGCAGTACTGGAGCGTATAGGCAAGTGTTTGCAAAAAGGCGCATACTGGTAACTATCCGCGAAAGCCGCAAACAAGCGCGGTGGTGAAAAGTAGCGTGAACTGAGAGTATCTTTTCGAGGAAAAGGTATTGGATGTCCTAATACTGACCGGTTCATCAGTGTGATACTAAACATCCATCGTGCGCGAATTGCGACAAAAAAGGGGAGAAATGTAGCTTCTTGGCACTTGTACCATCTTCGCGTCTCCTGACGAGCTCAACATCACCCAGCCCCGAGCATCCGCAAGACGTGTCGCCGTCGCCTAGACCTGAAACTCCAAAGCCTCAACCGATACCAGTACACTCTCCAACAAACCTCGCAGCTTTCAGCAACGAAGTAGCGCTTGCGACACAAACGCCCCGTCAAACTGAGATATCACTCGAAGATTCAGGCCTCGACCATTCAGCCTTACAAACACAACTCTCTTTACATTCCACAGCCTTTTCCGATATCAGTATACCACCGTATCTTCGTCCGTACGATGCCTGGAAAGATATCCGCGAGTTACTTCCGCCACCATTGCAAGAGGTTCTATGTCACTATGAATTTACCACCTCCCTTACTCTCGCAAACGATGATCCAGCAAAAGCAGCATGGCAGTCTTACATTCCCGAGATGGCACATAGCCATGAATTTCTCACAAATTGTGTATTGTCGGTCGCTTCGCTGCATCTTGGTCGGCTTCATGAAAACAAGGAAGCCAAAAAGAAGATGAATACACTAGCGGCTGCACGGATGAACAAAGCTCTAACAAAGTACCGGGTTGAGTTGGAAAACATCACAGAGAGCAATGCTGCGGCACTCTTTGCTAGTTCAACATTCACCGCTGTGTATCTTTTTCGCACATCAGCCATCGACATTGAGAACCTCCGTGCTTCAATTCCACCAGATGCGACCACACCATCACCAGAGATAGTCGACAAGATGCTATCATGTGCATTGCGCACGATATGGGCACTCCGTGGTCCCCTAACAGTCCTGTTATCAGGATGGAGTTGGGTGGTGGGAAGTAAAATGCATCCAGTTACTGCACGCGAGTGGTGGCCGGAGTACAATATTTGCGCAACATCTCGTGCAGTCTTGGAGGACAAACGCCTACAGGAGATTGAGAAGTTATGGATGGATGGAGAAGAACCATTGGGACCGCACTGCGTCTACCTTTCTCAAGCACTACTCTACCTCCGCCAAAGCTTCAACTTGATTAGTCAACTGACACTACCCGAACGTTTCCCTCCAATGTCGGCAGTTCCATATTCGATCGACGACAAAACCATCTCCACCCTTACAGATCGCGGCGCAATCTTCGTCTGGGCGGCTCGCATACCACGAGAGTTTATCAACCTCGTCGAGTCCAAGAACGCACATGCACTCGTCATTCTCGCACACTACGCCATTCTACCCGGCAGAGTCCGAAATGTATGGTGGCTCGAAGGTCTAGGCGCCGACATCGTCACAGCCGTGGCAATGGCTCTCGGTCGCGAAAACTGGGGCTTGATCGAGTGGCCCGCAGGCGTCGTCGGTGTGGATCTAGAGAATGCATTTCGGGTGGAGAGACGCAAGGACAAGTTGGAAGGCAGTCCGTGTGAAATGCACATGGATGTCATATGAACTTCTTCTCCCAGGGAAACCCTGCTATATATCTACCGTTTAGACAAATCTAAGACTAGAAGTAATAGGTCGGATACTGTACCACCAATCCTTCATTCACTTGCTGCTATACCTACCTATTCCCACCCGAACAATCCCGACCCCCTCCCATATCCGCCTACCAAACCCAGCACGCTGTCCTCCGATTACACAAAATATATGCAACTCGCCACATCATCCCCCCTCCGCTTCATATGTACTACTCATCTGACAATGCCGGCATGTGACTCACCTCGTCGCACACATCTCAAACAAGCGTCAAGCGAATAGAAGGTCTAAACGCGGGAAAGCATGGGGCCTCGTGGGTATGTTGTGCGAGGGTGTCCGGTGTCTCGGGCGTGATGGGCGACGTACTTGGGGGTGAGGGGGGCGAGGGGGCGTGTGGAATGGGGTGGTTGTGTTGTTTAATACTGAGGGGAAACGAAGACATTGGTCTAAGAAAAGGGAAGAGAAGACGCATACACAAATCTCCACATCATCATTATCATTCTTTTTCCAGCCCAATCGCTTGAAAGGAAGGGATTCGTAAAGCGGACTCCGAACACCCCCTTCAAACTCCGTTTCCTACGTACGTAGAAAAACTACTGGGTTTAAGTTTTACACTGCTTCCGTCCTTCCACCTCCTCCTGTATTCTTTCTCTTTTCTTTTCTTTCGCTAACGCACCTCCCCACACCGTCCCGGGAATTTAAAAAAAACCCTGTGTGGAGATAAAAAAGCAAATACGTAGTCAGTGATTGCGCAATTCGCGGGCTTAGCCCTTGAGGCGATGTGGAAGCCCCCCAAAAACCACTACTACCTGTATACCCACATGCGCACTGCGCACTGCGCACGCTCTTAGTGGCCACGAGGAATAGAAAGGGAAATAGATATCACGCCACCAGCACTTTCTGTGGAGCCGGGAGGGTAGGCTGTGTGTGGAGACGGGCACAAAGAATATTTTTTTTCTTTGTCAGGCAGCAAGCTCTATCTTTTTTTGTGGTTCAGCTCAGGCGTTCAGCTCAGGCGTCCAGTCTAGGCGTTAGTGTCTCGGCTATTCGTGGTTTGTAAGTCTGATCTTTTTTTAAAATGGAGATTGGTATTTATGGTGATTGGTGTGTTGGAGGGGGTGTTCTTTTAGTTGAGTGGGGGAATGTGCAGTGTTGGTTTGTTGGTGGTATGGAAGTGGTGAGACACTCCACGTAGACACCTTGAGAGGGGTTTGCTAGTGTATTTTTGGCTCTGGAGAATGACAAAATGAAGATGGAGTTGTTGAGGAAATGAGTGGAGGTTTTGGCGACTGTTGGTTGGTTTGTGGGTTTGAGTGTATTCACTTCGCAAAGAGTGATAATAATTACTTGGAAGAAAAATCACTACTACCATCCATACTTGATGTATGCGTATTGGTCTACTCAAAGATTTGAGTCTTTGATTTAATGATATTATCACAGCTTTTTAACAGTATATGGTGCAAACAACGCAAATGGTGGGTTTTGCGGTTCTTAAACCCACGGATGGTGGTTGTAACATGAATCCAATTATCAAGCAACATATTTATTAGGAATAATCCAAGAACAATCAGGCATCCAAAAGTCACAACGTATTTCTGCAAATAGGTATAACTAACAGTAGAAATACCAGCCTCGTGTGAGGGCAGTGAATTATATTCTACTCTCATCCTCCGTACTCAGCGAAGAAGCCAAAGTCGCATATTACAACTACACCCCATACGAGAAAACTAGTCACGTAGTACACACATCCAATATCACATGACTGTAAAGATAGCTATGTACATCCATGTATTGTTTTGATAACGAAAAGAGTCACTGAGGGTATCTCAAGCCTCCAGTGTCGACTGAGATTCCAAAAATGACAGAAACTCTAAATAGCCTCTAACGCATGCACAAGAAAGCGACATATCGCTACACTTGCAAACCGACCTAATTTACCTTTAGGATACCTTAAACGGAATTCCGAGCAAGTCGAACAACCGAGTATTTTCTGCATGCAAGAGCGACCAGAACTTATGATACACACATGTATCCCGAGATCCACACCTGCACATCTTCAATCCCCGAATCTACTCAACAGCCCCTAACTCATGCCCAACAACCCCTTTCTGCCTCCCTAGACACCTCGCCCATCTTTCCTCAGTCACATACACTACTACATCTAGACTCACTACCACGCCGATCCGCACGCCACCGTGCATGCGCAACCGCAACCGCAACACGACATGGAGGCACTGCCCCACCTCCTTTGTATCTCGAAGATGTCAACCATGCGTGTGGGGCAAACGCAAGGCAAAACATGTGGGAAAAATACGAAGCTTCGGGGTGGCAAAAAATACCAAACACCATCTCTCTGTCTCGAAAAAAGGCAAGTTACGCGGGGAGCGGAAGTAAGACTTCGCAACTACTGTGTATTGTAATAAAGCGCCTATTTGGTAACTTCCAAGGGTGTATCGAAGTACGTCGATATCCGCGTGCGCAAATCTATCAAGTAATTAACTCTGGTACTCACAAAGCAAGAGAATAACCAGGCGGGCGGAACGGTGCGGATAGATAAGGATAGACGTATATATCAAGCCGTTGCGGGACAACGGCCTTATTAACTTATGCAATTCAAACCCACCTAAGACATTATATGCGACATCGATGCAATCTCGAAATCGCGATCGCGATCGCGATCACTGAAGGGAAAAAGTGAAGAGGACGATGGGGCTTAGATGTGGCTTGGACACGGCACCGAAACTTCTGTGCGTCGTCTTGGGGCCAGCTGGGCACAACGAACATCGACGACGATACTAACAACAACGCAACGACGATTCGTCTTGGGTATCGAGGCTTGGCAAGGCTGGTTCCCAACGTATCGCAGCAGGCAGTGCATGTTCCAAGAAAAAGCGGAGAAGCGGAAAATCAAGACAACGCTGAACAAGAGCCGAACAACAACGCCTTTGCAAATTTCCGTAAGTCGGATCGCACGGCTGGGCGTATGGCCGTTTGAGGCCGTGCAAGAAGGAAGAAGATGGAAAGGTCTCACGTGCCGGTATGCATGTATGCATCAATGTCAATCCCTCGGGAAGACTATGCATATACGTGCCTCCGAGCCCGTCTTTGTGGCTGTAACTAAACTAGCAAGACAGACATACAGGCATAGGGAGAGATGAACAGCAAGCATCTGTACACATGACAATCAAGCTTTCGGGATACCGACACCGACACCGTAGCCGAATATAGATTACGCATAACATCAACCCAGATCACAGCCTTGATTATTATACAGGACGTGTGAGTTGCGTAGAACATTGAGAGTTCCTGCGAGGTAGACTATTGCTTGTTTGTGTGTTTGAACATTTACGTAGGTATTAGTACGTGGTGTTAATTTGATTGCGTAGTTGCACTATTACTGTAGGGCTGTCTGTCGGTCAACTCGGGAAAGCGGATTACCAAGACCGAGAGGGCTAGCCCTAGCCTTCCAACATAAGCCAACCTTTACTACGGAATATCATCACTACTATAATATTACTCTAAGCAAAAAGTCGATAAGATGAACACACCAATGCTGCATTTACTATGCTAAAATCATATCCATCAACATGGTATTGCTGGTATTGCAGCAGCAGCAACAACAAAGGCTTCACACGTACCCTTGGAACCAAGGAGATTTTCGTTCCCGACCTTCCTTGAGAAGGGGGCACCATTTTCCAACCCGGCTGTTTCGGTCTTCCGAAAGCCGAGACAGGAAAAGGGAGACTATACTAGACTCATGATCTACAACCATGAATCAGTTTTCCCTAACCACATTCGAGGGGAAAAAACCCACAGAACCCCAACACCAAAACACGAACAGTCTCAAAAGAGACAAGACAGAAAGGAGGAAAGGTTAAAAACGCTCACGCCCAAGCGAGGAAGCGTTATGTCGCAACCATCGCCCCGAACTCCAAAAAAAATAAAACACCGTGCGGGTGAAAGGAAAAATAGGGCTGAGAGCCCCTTGCTAACCCTTAATCTCCTACATGGGTACACGCAACAAAGCAGCAGCATCATTATCACCACTTTCATTCATAGTTACGCACTAAGCGGTGTGTATACCATCCTAACCCCATCCTCCCCAACGCCTCAACCCCCCTAAAAAGCCCCCCCCCCCGGTCCCACTCTAACCCCCATCCATCCTAGCCCCCACCTCACACGCATAGTAAGATCTCGCTGATCACTCTCCTCATATCCCCCCCCCCTTCCCGTTCCCATCTGCCGCTAGGCAAGGTACAAGCGTCTTTTTTATCCTTCACCATGCCCTGCCTTCTCACCGTGCTCTCGTCCTAACCGTGCTCTCGTCCTAACCACGCTCTATCCTCACCGTGCTCTCACCCTAATCCGTGCGTTTTTTTTGTTACCCCCATCCCCCCATCCCATCCCGTCTGCCTCTCACTCGTCTCTCTCTCTCTTGTCTCGTGTCACTCGAAAATCTTACATACGCAGCCACAGCCCTAAAACCCGTTGGCGGGGGGGGGGGGGGGGTTTGCTGACGCTGGTCTGGGCGCTGGGCTGAAGGGGGAATGGGCGGGCTCAGTGACAGAGAAGCTATGTTGGTGAAGGGAATGGGCTGGGGGAGGGGTAAGGTAGGGTAGAGTGCAATGCATAATAGCTCCTTCCCTTCCCTCTGCCCCCCCCCCCCGGCCGCGCGCGCGCACGCACAAAACCCCAAGCACCGACGTTTTTTTCCCCCAAGAATATTGTCAGAGGTTTTAAAAGCATTGTATAAGTATGTAGTATGGTTTACTGCGGGACTTTGAGTTTATTAGTTTCTTCTTTTGCTTGACTTGATTTGATTTGATTGCTTAATTCCAAAGCTAAACTGTGAAAAAAATTTCAAGAGACAATGTGAAATAAGACTTTCCTCTCTCTCTCTCTCTCTCTCTCTCTCTCTCTCTCTCTCTGTCTCTCTTTCTCTCCCGCGCGGTAAAAACAGGCATGCGCGTATAAAATCGACTGGGGATGGGGAAGGGATTTTGAGTCGTGCTCCCTTCTGCTTGGTCATCCCACCAACCACCCCATCCCCCAACTGGGGGGTGTGTGTTTCTTTTGCGGCTGGTAAATGGACAAGGGTTCTTGTGCTTCTAGAAGCATGGAAAGGGAAGCGGGAAGAGAGATTATGGTCACGCGATGGGGCGATGGCATGTTTTTTTTCCGAGGCCCGCGTATATAGCAAAAAGGTATTACGGGACGGGTGGTGGTGTGCTATGAAAGGATTTGGGTTGATGAGGATGGTAAATGGTAAGGGTTTGCTGGTAAGCAGTCAATTTAGATAGGGTTGGAATGATGACGGTGACAATGAACGATGTAATCGCTATGATGAGAAACCGTTTTTTGTGGAGATTATCCCGCCTCCAAAGTGGAAAAAAACAATTGGCCAAGGTGTCAAAAAGGCTTGTTGTATTTCTTTTCTTCACTTAAACTCTTCTTGTTTTATTAACTAGCGCTGCGAAACCCACCTACTTTTACTATGCATGATGCGGGTTAGTTAGTGCCAGAATGGGGGCAGTGCTTTGTGGGAAATCTCGCAAGGACGGGCTTGTTTAAGGATAAGGTAGTTTAGAAGCCGTCGAACTGATTTCGAACTATCGTCAAGTTCACACGATACAAGGGACCACAACATGCGCTAGGACGGAATATCCACTTCGTCGTGTCTCTCTATCTCTTGAGTCGTGAGAAGAAGGGCATGGGCCAATGTATTGTTTCGAGAAGCGGGATTGCCCTCAGGATGCGTGTCATGTCACATCATCTGGCCCTTTTCCAATATGAGACTCGTTCGTTCCCTTTTGGTGGGGAAGGGGGGGGGGGGGTAATGGGAGGAGGGATCGGTAGTTGTGTGGAAAGAAAAGCGACCGAGCTTTTGTTTTATCGCTGGCCAAAACTCTCACATGATGTTACACAGAATAGGTATCACGGCAGTTGAAAGAGTGGGTTTGATGATGAGGGCTCCTGCTCCCAAAAAAGAACGAAGAGAGAAAAAAAAAGGTGAAGCGGTAAATTCCCTCAGCAAATAGCGCGAACACGGTCAAGGACCACCTATGACCATGTTCCAAACCGGCCCTATTATTGCTGAACAGACAACAAAAAATCCCCCGGGCCTCGCATTAGGATTAGGGCCTTTTTTCGTTATTGAACAAGCGGACGCTTTTTTTCAACGTTCCCAGCTATACGGAAAGCTTGCTTTTTGCCTGTATTGTACACGAGTATGCGGCCACACCGGACTGTCAGGTACCGAAGAACAAAACAGACCAGTAGCGTTCTAACCTAAACGCGTTGCACTATCTGTCTCCCTCCTGAAATGTCACCAACGCATCACCCCAACGCATAGCCTGACTGACCGCTTTACTGTCGTGATAATGACAATTAACCAGCCCGTCTACTAGAGTCGCCGTAAAAAAGCCATGACTGTGACATTGTTATTGCTTTGAGACACCGACCTCACTCCTCATCGGAGTCGTCTCCGCGACTTGTGTCTCATACTTCTCGATTTGGTCAATTGAACTGAAATGCAAGGCGGAGAGAGAGGGCGCGCGCGTATGTGTGGGTGCACGGTGTTTGTTTGTGTTGATGCCCACCGCATCTTGTCGTCTTCATCGGCGCGAATAGAGCGAGAGAGAAAAAGGGAGGGCGCAGGAAAATCACTTGGTAGTCGGTGCGATTTCTACCAAGTGATCGACCTTGGGGCTGGACGGCAGTTGAGTAGTAATCCACTGGGTAGGGTGTTGGATGGTTTGGGAGGGGCCAAGTTTTCTGCGATCGCTAGCCCTGATGATCAGATTCGCAGCCAGCATGTGTGTGTACGTGTACCCTTCTGTTCCGAGTCCGTGTCCGTGTTGTTGTGTGTTTGTGTGGTGGAATATGCCGGAGCGACAACGGTACGGAAGGGCCGGATTTGCAGGTGGCACGACTCGGACCATCCGGCCAGTGACGATTGTGCACCCGTTTGAGCGACTGAGAGACAATCGGAACTCGGTCCTGTAGGTTGCGCCGAAATGGCCGACACGGCGGTTGGGAGAGGGAAAGGAGTGGAAGTGTCGCCGGACTGTCCTGGCGTTAGGTATAGGGGGCTTCTGTCGTGTTTCACCTGGAAAGATCCGTGACAGGGTATGCACGTCGACTATTGCGCATTCCGTAAAGTCCAGAGAGAAGTCGAAGTGCTTGTGCATTATGATTGTGTGCGCGTGCCCCTCTCTGGACATGGATGTCGAGTACATGTGTTTGAAATGCGTCGAGGCGGGTTTGTATTCGGTGCGACGCGCAGACAGGACGGCACAGCACAGTAGAGGCGACAAGATTTGCTACATGCACCTTTCTGCTGGCATGTGTATTTATTTTTATTCCTGGATAACGTCATGTACGATTTCCCATGTGGGATGCAAGATCAGAGCCAAAGAAGGGTGAGCGACATGTCAGACTGCCCGCTGGCTTAACCCCCCGCGTGGAGGGAACGGCATAAGACATGTCCCCCTCAGCCCTACAACGTTCGCGACCATCAGATCAGTAAGCCCTTGCGCGAGCAACCGTCCGTGGAGTAGGCAGCAGGTCCCCCCCGTCAATCAATCGCTTTCGGCCCAATTTGAGTGCTGACCAACTACTCAAACGTGCCAACGTGGGAGCAATCCGGGGTAATAAAACGCACCCATGACAGCGCCTGGCAGTTATGGCAGTTCAACGCGAAAGTCATTGCAACCCGACAAACGGCTCCAACAATCGGCTTTGTGGAAATCTGCTCGCTGGGCGATATGCAAAGTGGACCTGCTACAATCAGGAGATGAGAGAAAACAGGCCTGTCGGACCCGACAAGCTGTTCACCCTCCGTGTTCGGGCTCCGGTGGCCCTGCGTGCATGCATGGTAGGTACATGGAATGCGAGTCCATGATTGCAAATCGCCGACTATCTACCCAGCCCTAGGCTTGGGCTGGCACGAACCAAAATGAAGGCCGCCAGGGGTGGGGTGTTGCGCTTTGCCTCGTTAAGAAAGCGTTGCGGGAGTTCAGTGCGATGCGCATTGGCCCGGAGAGGCTTAGTGTCCTTTGTTTCCGCGCAAGGCCCTTTGAGCTTCTTTGTGGGTGGTCATTGGTCAGGTCGTTTGCACGTCGTTGGTCAGGCTAGCGTGGGAATCCAAGGCTGACCAGCAATGGCTGTCCAAGTGGATTTTGGACACATGCACATGGCTAGATACATACTTATGCAGCGGGAATTGCCTCTGTACTCGGCGTACACAGTCCGCGGCGGCTGGGTGTAGACGGGACGTATATGCAAGACGGTCTAACGCCCAGCGTCGCGTCAAAAATGTCTCCAAACTTAATCAGGCGGTGTCGAGATCGTGAATGCGTGCCAAGATGGAATTTTAGAAGGTGGAATTTCCGACAGAACGACCGTTGAAGACAAGGCAGAGGGATGGATTGAGTGCTTAGCGGCTTGCGATAGTTACCGGCGCTAGGGGATGGGGCCAAAGCTTCCATGGCTGTCAGTAGAGAGGTTTTGCAGCGTGCATGTAAGTAAGCAGGCCTGTACAGTATGTAAGCACCTCTGGCCAGCCACGCGCTCGGAGCACCAACGACCGGGGAGGTATACAGACTGCATGTACCGATGTATGTACGTACATACAGGCTGGACATGTATACACAGTGTATGATACATGGTGTACTTTGGATGACTGGCTGCAAAAAAGGTGCAACCACCCGTCTGTTTTGAAATGTGACCAAAGACGTGCTGTGTCATTCTCAGCAAGCAAGCGCGACGAGAGCAGGACCGGGGAGCAGTGACGTGCAAAGTAGTGGTACTTTAGTCTGTCGCCCGCGGCCTCAGGTGGGTGTCGTGGGTATCGTGGGCAGTGGGCTAGAGAGCGGTAGGTAGGGTGAGTCTGGCAACCAGGTACAACCTCGTAGACAAGGCACGGTTGGGCCCGCGAATGATGCCTGCGCCACCACATCGTTGCACGCTAGCCAGGCCGTACTGCGTCCAGCTGCGCCCCTCGGAGCCAGTTCCGTGCCGCGTGTGCGTGTTGCAGCCTCACGTGATCCTAGCCGGTTCCCGAGTGCCCGCCAGGTCCTTGTGGCTGCCTTCATCTGTTTCTGGCATGTTTCGCGCAGGCGGCCCTCTCTGCATGCCCAACCGCCATTGCACACCTTCACCTCCATCGTGGGGCCTCGCGGGACAGTCGGCGGCCCCCCACGTTGATCCGTTGTCGCAGTCGTTGTCGTCGTGCGTGTGTGGGTGTGTGGGTGTGCGGGTGCAAAGTGCGGCTGGTGGTGGTTATTTTGCCCTACACCGAGTTTGCTAGGCCCGTTCTAAATCAAAGCATCCACATGTACTACTTACTCTCCCACCACTACTGCTAGTACCATCCATCATATTGGCTTGGACGCTCCATGGCGCAGTCGCTTGCCCCGCACCCAGAGGCTGAAGAGGCACGCGTAGCAAGCGAGCATTTTCGCACCATGCTTCCACTTCAGGACCCCGAGTAGCATCTATCCAGACCTATTTGCGTCGCCTTGGGCCAGAGATGTCTTGCTGCTTGCCTTCTTGCTCGCTCCTCGGCTTGCTCGTGGCTACGCTGCACACACGCACATGTGATTACATCCGCCCCAAGCCTCATGACCTAGCAGCTGAGAGATAGGCGCAATCACAGAGTCCTCAATGGCTGCCACGAGATGCACCATTCTAGACCATGTTGCCTCTTTGAGTTCTGATTCTGACTGGCGACAGCCATCCCACCATCTGATGACTTGCATCCTCACACCCGTCTGGGGGGGGGGGGGG